ATGATATAAACATTTTATCGAAGAAACTTTCGAGAATTTATCATGAGTTTATAAGTCAACAGATACAGAAAGATGTCAGGCTACAGCTAAATTAAAGCTCTAAGAACTCCWTGTCGTGGATAAAAATTACTTTTCCGATTCTTTCAGAAGGACATGTTTACTGTAGACACGGACAGTACAGGGCGACCCGCGACAGGTCCCCAGGGAAGGAATGATCAACCATTACTATACAATAGGTTCCTTGGCCCCTGGGAATCGCCGCCTGTTGTGTATTTATAGACAACGTAATTAGTTGATSGCCACTTGATGATTTTAGTTCCTTGCAGAGAAAACGTTGAATACTGAAGATAGTTATTCCAAGAGCGAAATGCATTGTGGGTCTTTCTATCACCGTTCACTATTCAAAAGGATTTTTCATGCTTTCAGAGTGACCAGCCTCGTGTTGTGAGGAAAGGAAAGCAATTAAATTTTGAATTGCCATGTAACGCAGCAAACTCGAAGTTTACTAAATCTCTTATAATGGCCTGAGTCACATACAGTCCTCGATTGCCTGATTTTTCAATTTATAATTCTACAGAGGTGTCATGTGGAAAGATCACGGCGGAATGGCATATTTAGCTGAGATGTGTAAACCCAAGTCAACAGGAGTTGTTGGGGTAAATACTCAAAGATAGAGTGGTTTTCATTAACCCGTGAAACACACTTAAGCGTATTTATCGCTATTTCACTTTGGCTCTTTTGATTTTTATTGTCTCTACGCGACTATTACGATCTATTACACTCTAATTATTATTACACCTTGTTTCACGGGTTTATGAAAACCACTCTATAAAAGACAGAATGAGAATATTAAGCGCACAAAACAGCGGCAAACATTTCTTCGACCATGTGTTAAATCTAAACACAAAGACATTGATTGGCAAAAAGGCGCTCTAATGAATGTTATTCACTAAAAATCTATTTTTTTCACGCACAAGTGCTCTTGGATTAATTCTTCTTTTTCCTCATTGTCGAGGTGATTTTGAGAACAATTTTTATTCCAAAAAATCAATCACTTCCCACTCATTTTACGTACTTTCAACTCTTTTAGTGGAACTTCTGGAGTCTTCTTGGTCCGTGGCTWGCTCTTGCTCATGAAATGGGACATAACTTTGGTTTTGACCACGACGCAGATGGTACGTTGTTGACTTATTTATGTAATAAATCAGATCATTCGACTACATGCTGTGGAGAATCGCTACACTAAATAATATTTTAAAAATCTGTTGGTATGATGTATACAGGACACAACTGCAAATGTTTGACACCGCGCGGTTGCATAATGAACACATTTAAGTAAGTATCACGTCRCTTCAACTATTTGGTCGTTCRTTTGCTTTTTATGTAGTATTCCAACAAGCCTCTTTCTTGGTGCATGTTTAGATGTTTATGCTGGCTACTTTGTTCTGTTCTATTCTTATTGTTTCGGTGGATTCCATTTCTCTTCTTATTCTTATTTTTTTTCTCTTTTTTATTTGTCCTCTGGTACTGCCTTTTTTGTCGTCTTCATTCATCTCTTTTCTTTTTTACAATCTCCACCTTCTAGGTCTCATCGTYATCTGCATTTCTTTTCCTCTCCATTCTTTCTTTTCCCTTCTTTTTACATTTATATAAAGTTCATATTTACGCCTAAACTGAACGTTCTTTTCTTTTTCACTTCCTCTCACTAAAACATAGATCTTCTTTTATAGAACACGAGTTCCTGGATTTTCTGATTGCAATCTAAGGGATCTTWATAATATTGACGACTCTTGCTTATACAACATACCAGAAAGGGTAAGACACATAATCTAAGATAATCAAAATTTGAGAATTAAGAATTCCACTATAAATACAATCGCAATAAAGAGCATCTTGGGTCCCGACGTTTATTATCGTAGGCTCGGGAACTTAAGGAAGTAATAGTAACTTCATGGTATCAAAATGGTATATTTCCAGGTCTATAATCCAAGATGTGGCAATGGCATCAAGGAAAAGGGCGAACAGTGCGACTGTGGGACAAAAGCGGTACTGTCTTAATGCAGTGCGATGCAATGAGAATAGAAATATAAGAAACTGTTTTGACAATGATGATTAATCTATGGCTGGCTGATAGTGGTTTAATTAATTGATGGATTGTTATGTGGTTGGTTGGTTGATTGGTTGGTTGGTTGGTTGGATGGTTGGTTGGATGGTTGGTTGGTTGGTTGGTTGGTTGGTTAGTTAGTTGGTTGGTTGGTTGGTTGGTGGGTGGGTGGGTGGGTTGGTTGGTTGGTTGGTTGGTTGGTTGGATGGTTGGTGGGTTAGTTGGTTGGTTGGTTGGTTGGTTGGTTGGATGGTTGGTGGGTTAGTTGGTTGGTTGGTTGGTTGGTTGGTTGGATGGTTGGTTGCTTTTTTAGTTGGTTGGTTAGTTAGTTGATTTGATTGATATACATGTAATCTTTAGAACTGTGCTATCGTTGACCCGTGCTGCAACCCGAAGACTTGCAAACTTCGCATCTCGGCCAGTTGTAGTAACCTTCATGACGGTTGTTGTCAAAATTGCCAAATTGCACCTGCTGGAACAGTGTGTAGAAAAACCAAAGGAGAATGTGACGTACCCGAGAAATGCGATGGCCAATCTTCTAAGGTATGGCCTATCTTATCATCTAATAAAAATTAGAGACAAACAAAAAGGAAAAAATATTATGCACTGGCCGGGAATCGAACCCGGGCCTCCCGCGTGGCAGGCGAGAATTCTACMACTGAACCACCAGTGCAACTGTTGATTGTATGAAGTGACAATTAAAGTATGAAAGAATAGAAGACAAATCATTTTGTACTTATGGCGGGGATTTTATTTGCAACTATAGCGCATTGATGGACCCCCCAATAATTTTTAAGACATTTTGAATTTTCTTAAATAAAGAAGCGAATTGCCTCCTTATGAAATTTCACCATATATATTCTATAAAAATTGKGTAAAAACTGAGCGTGAACAATTAAAATTGAAGCTTTTTAGCGAAGGGATTTATTGATAATATCGCTGACCGTGTGTGCCGTAAAAATGTCTTTGATAACTCCTCAAAACGTTGGAAATGACATTTTCAAGAGTTAAGATTTCAAAAACCGAACCCCCTTAGTACCCCCTCGCCGCTAGCTCCGCCAAACAAATTCACGCTCCGCGGTCCCTGGCATTCTATGTATATTATTATGGCCTATTATTATGGGATGACAGAGAAGCAAAGTTTATTGTCGTAGATTTTTAAGATTTGACGCAACTCGATTCCTTCACGTTCCTGTATTCCTTTTTCAGTGCCCTTCAAATGATGTTAAAATTGATGGAGCAAAATGTTTCTATAATGACATGGTAAGATCAGCGAATAATAACTTTTGAATAACGAAGTGTCTATATGTCCGKGACGGGAAAATGTAAATCCAGTCTGATSAAAAATACTTTACTGTATTTAGGTTCAGATAGTCTTCCTTTTTACCGAATTCATTTGACAATTCAAAGCTTCATCACCGCTCGGCATAGTATACAGTCGACGTGGCACTTAATATTTTTCACGTCTCTGGACAAACCTCCCGGACAGAATGTCACGAAAAAATTAGATGTCCGGGAGTCAAAATCACGGGAGAATGTAAATCCAGTCTAATCAAAAATACTTTTCTGTATTTAGGGTCAGGTAGTCTTCCTTTTTACCGAATTTCGTTGACATTTCAAAGCTTCTTCGCCGCTCGGCATAGTATACAGTCGACTCCCGGACAGAAAAACTAGATATCCGACGTGAAAATATCTAAGTGCCACGTCAACTGTATACTATGCCGAGCGGCGAGGAAGCTTTGATTCTTTGTTTTGATTGGTTGATTGATCTATTGATTGACTTRTTGATACATCGATTGATTATTTTTTTCAGGTTCTAACTGGAAATAACCAGGGCTCAGCAATAAAAATAACTCCCCTTCCACGACCAATTACAGCGAGATATATACGAATCAACCCAATAAACTGGGATAAGGAAATATGTATGAGGGCTGAAGTGTATGGCTGCAGAGCAAGTGCGTGTAAAACATATATATTATCATTATTATCCTTGTTTTTCAACCTTATAATAATTTCTCTCGACACGAGCCAGACCAGAGCGAGGAATCTGTGTCACTCTTGGACTTCCTGTGGTGGCAAAAACCCTCCCCTACCCCCCTACCCCTACACATTCCCAGTCCTTTTTTCGATCAAAAACCAAGATGGTAGATTTGTTAGTAGCCTTTCACTCGAGCTCCTGTAAGAATCAGGGATTTTAACAAAGAAATTGATTCTAATCTCTAAGCCATGGTAGGTAAAGTTCTTTATATAGACAAAGAAATACCTTGGTGGGAAAGTAATAAATTTATATTGCAAAAGTTTATAAATTTCCTGCATTCTCTTTTGTACAGCCTCAAGACTTTCTCCCAATCAAGCAACTTCTATTCGGAGCATAAACAACCTTTGCGTKGAGGCGAAGAATGGTCTTTGCTATAARCAAGACAAATCCGAGCTGTTCTTTGTGCAAAGTGATTGTAAAAGCAGRAATAGTCAGTTYAAACTRCTGAAAGATGGCGCCCTTCTTCATCAATGTACTGGAAACAGAGTGTGTGCTGCCAATAATAAAGTTAGTTATGGCTATAAACTTGTGATAAGTAAAGATTGCACCCAAAGAAAGGCTTTGAAATTCAAGCGAGATGGTAAGTGAATATGTGTTCCTGGAATTKGAACCTTATTTTAAGGTAGATAGTACCTTTCCAGTGGATAGAATCCATTCAAAATATAAGGAGAGAATAAATCTAACATAACTTTATCCACCCTACAGTAAGTTGTACAACCTGCTGCAGTTGTAAAGAGATTTGTTTCTTGCTTCCCTCTTTCCTTCCTTCCTTGCTTCCCTCCTTCTCGCTATCCTCTCTCCTTGCTTCTCTTCCTGACTTTTTCCTCCATTTCTCACCTGCATCCCTCCATCCAATCACCTCTATCTCCCTTCTTTCCTTTCTTTCTCCCTCTCATCCTTTCCCTGACCCTCAGTCCTTCTTTCTTGCTTCCTTCCACTCATTTTATTTTGAATACACATTCATTTTATTTGCATATTCAACATTATCTCATTTCAGTACACTCATGTGATTGTTATTTTATGCATTAGGTAAACTACTGTGTTTAATTAAGAAACCAAATATCTGCATTCATCCTCATGGTGGCGTCCCTCGTGATGATGTTGCTCTAACCTCATGGATAACCAATAAAAAGAAAAACAATGATAAACTGAGTCTACTCTTCTCTAAACCAGGTACTTTTCTTTCAATCACATTTTTCTTATAAATKTTCTACAGTTGAATTCGTTGATACCATGTCGTATCCCCAATTCCAGAGAAGTTACTATAACAGAGGTCTTGTTCATAATAGGAAACATTGCCAATGGGGATCCATTTTAACAAGTATTGACTCTACTTGACGTATAAACCTTGTATTTTCAAACTCTAATTCACTTTATTTCTAGACTGCCTTGATCCTCTTGGAATGATTGACAATAGGATTAAAAACCACCAAATAACAGCATCCTCCAACCTTAAACACAAAGATCCAATGCATGCTCGACTTGCTGGCTTCAATTCCTGGTGTGCCGGTGTAACCAACARAAAACAATACTTGCAGRTTGATCTGGGAAAGGTAAGTCAAAGAACAAGGGTAATCTTACTAGTTTAGTAGTTTCTGAGCTAGTCGTTGCTTTATACTAGAGTTATATGCTGKTTATATTGATAACATGCTAAACAATGTGTAGGTTAAGAGAATTGGTGGTATTGCTACTGAAGGAACATATGATGGAAAACGAGTCAAGAAGTATAGGTTGTTCTACAGCAATGATGGGAAGCAATGGGTGGAATATACTGGAAATAGATTAGCTACAAAAAATGTATGTTTGAATTTGACTTTGAATAACCAAAACCAACCCAAACACAAACCCACCAACTAACCCATCAATGAAACAACCAAGCAATCAATAATCTAACCAATCAACCAACCAATCAACCAATTAAGAAACCAAGAAGCCAAGAAGCCAAGTAATCAATCAATCAATCAATCTGTCAATCAATCAATCAATCAATCAATCAATCAATCAATCAATCAATCAATCAATCAATCAATCAATCAATCAATCAATCAATCAATCAATCAGACAATCAATCAATCAATCAATCAATCAATCAATCAATCAATCAATCAACCAACCAACCAACCAATTAAGAAACCAAGAAGCCAAGCAATCACTCAATCAATCAACCTGTCAATCAATCAATCTGTCAATCAATCAGTCAGTCATTCAATCAATCAATCACTCAACTAACTAACCAATCAATCAATCAATCATATCAACAAACCAGTCAATCAACCATTAATAAGTATAAATGAATGTACAATCTACTCTGCTGACAGAATTGATGTTGTATTTTTCACCAGTCCTGCTGCCTTAAAGGAGTGTGTGCCCCAACTAATACGAWRCAATGTCAAAAGAGAGGTGATGCTGATGATTGTGATAATGATTASTCTAGATAACGTGATTTACGCCTGCTGTCAATCATCTTTCATTTTCAGATTATCTGATGAGGAAAAACGCCTTACGTCTGAATTGTCCAAAACATTTTAGGCGGGTATGCGCTGGAAATGGTGTAAGTGTCCAGAACAATCATCAATAAGCATCAATAGAGCGTAAGATTAAGAGTAATGACTGACTTTGGTTAATTTTGTAATTAGATTTGTACTTCAAGTGGGAGATGCCATTGTAAGGATGGTTTTGATCCTGCAAGTAATTGCGTTTCAGGTATAACTGAACATATGGTTAATAAATGAACGATTGATCGATCAAAGGGACGGATAAATAAATGAATGGATGAAGAAATGAACGAACGAATGGATGGATGGAAGAATGAGTAAACGCAAGGACARTTGAATTAGTGCAAAAATGAAAAAAGGATTAATACCTAAATAAATAAAGCAACGCGATCAAAAGATTGTCAAAGATTCCTTTTTTCTATTTTCAAAGCTGTTCAAAGAGTGAATGGAGCGTGGGGTACCTGGACTAAGTGGAGTAAATGTACCCGAGTATGCGATGGAGGATTCAAAAGGCGTCACAGGTTCTGTAACAATCCTGCTCCAAGGCATGGCGGCCAAAAATGCKTMGGWAARAGAATACAAATAATGGCATGCAAGACACCAATCTGTCCAGGTATTAGATAATACATCATTATTTGACAATTAGACCTCGAGGTCGAGTGGACTACGAGCTAATAGCCCATGAGGCCGAGTCGTCAAATAATGAAAACAAATTGAAATATCCTTAAAATAATTTATAATTCATAATTTACTTATTTTGATTTTCCCGCGAGTGGTCTATCACAAATTAGACCATTAGTAGAGTAGCCAATCACAGCGCAGTATGAGTGATAGACCATTAGTAGAGTAGCCAATCACAGCGCAGTATGAGTGATAGATCATTAATATGTTTATACTAATTGTGATTTAGAAGATCGTAGCATTTCCAGCTCGCTATATTTGAGGCAGCTAACATGGTTTGATATTTAAATTTTGCGTCGAATTTAACTTGTATCCATGTTTTGGCTCAATTCATAACCGTCTCAATTGAATATTTATTTGTGCATGTAAGATTCGTCGATCGTTAGAATGATATATCACGTGACTTTCTGTAAATCGAGCCCGCGTTCCTCTCTGTTACTTTTAACGTCCGCCATTTTGTTTCTTATCTGTACCGGCATGTTGTTAGTCGATTAAAGCCTTGATTCACGACTTTCCATACCCAGGTTCAGTGACCACTAACAAAGCATTGAACCGAGGCGTCAAGGAACACTGCATGATCACAGATCTTTTCTTTTATGTTCACTGTACCTTGACGCCTCGGCTCAATGCTTTGTTCATGGACACTGAACCTTCGTATGGAAAGTCGTGAATTTATGCTCTCCACAAATATTCATCTTTGGTTTTTGCTTTATAACAGTTGCAAACTCATGCAGGCATCTTCAAACAATCGGTAAAAAAACGGGTATCAAATACCCTAGTGGTGTTTACAAAATTAACCCAGATCAACAAGGTATTGTTAAAACCTACTGTGACATGTCACGCAACGGTGGTGGATGGACGTTACTTGTCACCAGTCACACTAATACGTGGACTCCCAATAACGTGAGACGACGCAATACCCATAATCCAAGRCTTGAYGATGATTTTTCAATACTGTACAAGGCAGACGCTATCAAGAAAGGCAGCCTGGGGGATTTTGAATACCGAATTGAAGCTCAAGAATTTGGCAAGTATTTTGATTTGTCAGTTTGTGTGGATAATGTAAATAAATTCTCACTTTCTCATATTCTATCTATTCATGCATTTGTTCGATCCTTTATCGCTTGAAGTACTGTACCGTCAACTCTTATAAGGTCCCGAAATATGACCGTTATAACGAGAGTTGACGATTCGAATTGGTCTGTTTTTCTCTTTCTATTAACTATCTTATATTGTACTTTAAAGCTTTTTCATTTTATTTGTTTATATTTTCTTTCCACGAATCTACCCACATCTGCTAGAAAATATAATTTCTGGTATTCGMCATCACTTTATTTTTCAGGTCGTTGGGGTGGTATATGGAAAGCACCKTTTTCTTATTCGTTTGTCGCAACAAACAACTTGCAAACGAATATCGAGCTAAAAAAGAAGTTYGACAATTGGTTTTACGAGAATTATGGAATCGAGGAACGTATGCCGTGGATCAACGGATCAATGTTAACCACTTCACAAACAACGGACGATAAAGTTTCCTTTGGGTCGATTACAGGTAATTGTGCTTAACCTCGCTAACGTTGTAGACGCTCGTATAAACCCATTGTTYCTCTYAGCTGRTGATAAMATATTTGTTTCGGCAAAGTACCCATAGTGCATCTCGGCAAACATCGCATGACGTCATACGTCTTCAATTGGGTTTTGCAGTTTSTGAGACAAGTTAGAAGGCGTCAAAAACAAAAACTACATTTTTCATTCCCCAGCGTCAACTTGAAAAGTAGACGAGCCTTAGCATTAAAGCCAGACAATGGTTGAGCATGCATACAGATATGTTTTMATACTATTATGGCAATTATTTATAGGTATCTAAAMCKGCAGGCTCAACCATTGTCTCGCTTTGATGCAAAGGCTCGGCTACCTTCCAAGATGTCACTTGAGAWGAATTATAGGCATTTGGCACGAAACGGTCACTCACATGGTACTAAATCCACTATGCTGGCTGGCAAAAGCCACTGTGTCCAGTATCAAACATACTTCGTTCATTTTGTTTTTGAGGTTGTTTACATTCTTTTGCCATCCARYWTGGTRGATTTAGTACMATGCGACCGTTTCATGCAAAAGGCCGATTTGCACGATATAAAATGGGAACAATTTAAAATGATTTTTAAGATACTTATTGTACATTTTAGCGAGCATACCACGTTTTTACCCTGCACCGTGGATCAACAACAAAGATCAAGAACAACATCCTACTAACATTTGGTACTGGATGAGAGAAAACAACAAAGTAGCCAGCTCATGTATGCAACTGCAGTTATTAGGAATTGAGAGTAATCGACCTCTTTCCAGTAAGTATAAAGGTTGATTTACACGGCACGATTGTCTCGTGCGACTTGTAGTATACGACTTGAATCGCGCAGTGTAAATGCCCCTACGACTTGTCTACAACAGTCGTACGCAACCTACGACTTGTAGTAGGGTTTTGAACCACTGCTTAAAATCCTACTACTTGTAGTAGGAAAATCGTATACTACAAGTCGCGCGCGACAAATCGTACCGTGTAAATCAGCATTAACTATATCAAAATCATTTTTCGTTTTGCTTTGTTCGAAGTTTTTTCAAATCTTATTTTTATATCATGAAATTTAGTCTTTGAACACTGTTCAAATGAATGCTGAATAAATCTACATAATCCGCCTCGTGTTTTCTTTGCAATGAGAGAAGTATTTGTGCATCAGAAAGCGCTAGGACTACAAATCCTGTCATTCTCTGGCGTCCTTGCACCATTGCCTATTTTCTTSGTCCTAGACGTTTATCAAGCCACATTCGTCTATAAAAATTCATACATTCAACCTCATGTTTTGTTGTTGTTGTTGTTTCTTTTTAAGGTGGTGTCCATACTTTAACGGTCAATGGGAAAATGGTCAAAACGTACTGTGATTTCACGTCTGAAGGAGGAGCCTGGACACTACTCCTTACCAGTTCCTCTCGAACAGGATGGAACAAACAGACTTTRGCGGAGAGGAATCCTGGGGARCCTTCATTGGATAAAGATTTCTCTATTCTTGGCATTAGTGATTCCATAATTAAAAATAGGCTCTTTCAAGTAAGAAAGTGAACTCACATGGCGTGCCGCCACCTTACCTAATGTTTGCTAAGCGTTTTCAACAAAGGATAGCATATAAACCTTTTCCAGTCTTCCKTAGATTGTATAAAATATTCGCCATTTTGGAACCTCAACCAWAATGCACTTCGCCAAACCAAAAATGACGTCATTAGACAACTATWATCTAACYTGACTATTTCCTTATTTGACAGTACAAAATTGAAGACGGCTCTTCCAAATGGGGAGGTATTTTCGAGGCAAAACCCGGTCAAGGCCTTTTATCAACRASGCCTCAAAAGCRAACGCGTTTATTGAAGAAATTAACATCAAACTGGGACAAAACGACGTCTAGTCTGGATGATACAGTACCATATATCAAGGACACAGTACTTCTCTATACGACCTCGACTTCCGGTGATAGTTCAGGGACTCTAGTAAGCTCCTCGGCGGTTTCAGGAACGTTTATTCCAGTTAAAAATGAGTACCCCTCTGTTGTGAGGCTTTGGGTCAGGGAAGGAACCTGGTAAGCATATATTGAGGGATAMGGCGTTACCTTTCATCCAACATGGCGGCTATTCACGACTTTCCAAAATGGCGCCATATGTCACGGTCGTCGACCAGGGCACTGGGGACGAAGCACTAAAACGAGGTCTCAAACGCCAGCCTCCGTATAGTAAACTTCGATGGTGTCTTGCAAGAGTGTTTTGTTATAAATAACATACCAATACATCTTTCAAACTTTTGGACACTACCTACACGCAATCGCGTAGTAGTGATTTCTTGATGGAAGGCCTTTGAGGTCTCGTTTCCATGAATCGTCACTAGTCCCTCAATTTGGGCGGTCGTGAACTACCGCCATTTTTGAAAGTCTAGTATATGACGTAACTAGTGCAACCCGAGAATATAAGAGAATTTGTCACAAGAAATAGTCTCCTTCACGGTTACCAGCGCCATCTTGAAAGGTAGCCGTGCCTTTACATCGAAGCGAGACACCCGTTGAGCGTGCAAAGATAGATACCTGTGAATAATTGTCTGTAAGTGTGAAAAAAGGTTTCTGTCATTGCACCCTCAACGGTCGTCTCGCTTCGATGCAAAGGCACGGCTAACTTTCAAGATGGCGCAGGGAACCGTGAAGAAGACTATTGTTGATTTACTGGTGTATATGTACAAAGACCTGACCGTCTTTGTTTTTCTAACGTAGGAGATCATGCAATGAAATAGTCGTGAAGTCAGGTATAAAAAAAAATCAACTCGAGGACGGTGTATACATGATAAAAAGATCTCCTCACAAGTACCTCCCGGTCATGTGTGACATGACGTCTGACCCAGGAGCCTGGACTCTACTAGTCACCAGCGCAAGAAATGGATGGAGAAAAAATCAAGTGAAATTTCGCAATATAAAGAAGCCTTCGTTGTCACGTGACTACTCCATCTTGGGGCTTGGGGACAAGATAAAAAGCWTAAGTCRTGGCAAGACGTTTAAGTACAAGTTGGAAGCGAACAAGAAAGGGCGCTGGGGAGGGGTGTGGTCAGCCCCARTTRARTATAGGTATAGTTCCTTGTCTTTCTATTGTTCCTTAGTATTTATAGTTTTTATTTGCTTTCTAAATATAAACTTCGCTCATTTTTGTCTCCGGCCGGGAAGCTGATTCTCTCCGTTATTCAGCATTATCCATATAAACAAATTCTTGCTTTTGACTTTCCTAAAGAAGCGAGCATTATGTATAGCTCTTGGTCTTGACTTCTTTGTGATTGAGTACTGAGATGAAATTTTGAAGTCGGCCATTATTATTTAGTAATTTTTCTTTTGTGATTTGATACACAGCTTTGTGAAGACCGACAACCAACAAACGAACGTCAAACTGATCAAAAAGTTCGGTAAATGGAATTACAATAAATGGGATCAAGCAATTGAAAAGAGAATGCCATGGCTKGGYAAAACTAAAGGRCTTTTGACCACATCGACGCATTCCAATTACTACGAATATGGTTCTGTTATCAGCGAATCAACGGTCAATAATCCTGCTATGTGGATTGCTCCTTACATGATAAATCCTGGTCGCATATGGTACTGGGTCAATGAGGATGATTGTGGTTCTGATAGATTACCTGGTAATGGTGCTATTATTCCTCCCCCTTTCCCCTTCTCTCATCCTTTTCCTCTTCCACCTCCCCTTCCACCTCCCTTCATGCACTCATAGGAAACACCTGCTTTTGTTACTAAAAWGTGGAAATATGTTCCTCCTAGAAGCCTTCTCCCTCCCAGCTTTCCCATTCTCCAAGAACAGTACATGTACACCTTTTTTAACATACATGTACACCTATCTCTAATCATTTTCGACCACTGCTTTCCCTCCTGTCCTCAGTTAATGGTGATGTATCATCTTGGGGTAGTTGGAGTGCTTGCTCTCCCATGTGTAGTAATAATAGCATAAGAACGCGACAACGTACTTGCACAAACCCATCCCCGCGATGTGGAGGAAAGAATTGTGATCCAGCGTTGTTAGCTTCAGAAACGCAACGTTGTCACTACTGCCCAAGTAAGTTGCATTAATAATCATCTTATATAACTCGATGGGAACTTAATATAAGTGTTAAGGACTGATTGATGGAACCCTTTGTGTGYAATGTCAAGGCAGGTTCATGTGGGGGGCAAAAAGGACAAGACTCCTGTTGCTCTCTTGGGAGCTAGAATCTAGCATTTTGTCCTTCRGGCGGACCTGCATTCCCACGATTCGTAATTGCCTAATTGGCAATATAGAAACTGTTTTTGATGACTGACCATCTTGCAAATGATTATGCGCTTGAATGGATACAAAAATCGACTGGATGAAGGAGACATCRTTGCAGCAAATGAGGCTAAAATCAGTAATAATTTTCTTTCAAAAGAAGTGACCTCTTTCTCAAAAGAATGATGAAATTAAAGCTACTTTAGCAGAAGCATTGAGTATACAAGCTTGAAGCTCTTTACCAGTTAGTTGCACGTATAACATACCATGTTCCTTCCACAGGAAGCCCAATCAAAGGAGACAATAATCTATGTATTCAACCAAAGACAGGAAACTGCAATCCACCCGATGGCACTAAGCTATCATACACTGATAATAATGGAAAATGTAATAAAAAACATATGTATTTCCTCTTGGGAAAGGATAATATCCTTATCCACCAGTGTAGTGGTAAAAAGGTCTGTCCAAGTGGTGAGTTAAC